CAGGGCCCGGGTCCCTCCCGGGCTCTCCATCCCTGAGGTCGGCTGAATGGAGTGATTCCAGCCCTGGGACCTAGTCCCCCAGTTCTTCCAAATGAGAAATGGGAATGACAAATAGGGTGACAGCTCCTTGGGTTTTTGACAGAAGAGGACCCAGTTAACCCTCAGATCAAGAAGAACAAACAGCCTGCCCAGGGGAATGCCAGACAAGCCTCTTAGCTCTCCCCCGCCACTGCCCCTCCCACCATAGTGTGCCCCTGGACGGCTGCTCACGGCCATCCTCCGGCCCCTGGCACATAGGGTGGAGGGGTCAGCTGTGTGTCAGGGGCTGCCTCGGCATCCTTGCAACCACCTCTCAGAAGGTCATGGGACCTGGTGCATACCCAGGGGCACGTGGGCTGAAACCAGCCCCCCTGGATCCCTGCCCCAGCCACCCCTCAACCCTGAGGGGCACTCTCCAGGCTTTCTGCACTGACACGGGTAGGGGCCCAGGAGGAGTGTCAGCACTTTGAGCCTGGTGGCATTTTCTTTCGTGGACTGACAGCAGAGGGGCAGAGCTGGGGCCAGCAGACACAGCACGTCCCAGGTGTCTGACCTCCTATACCACACGTGGACCCAGCTGGAGCCAGCTGGGGAGACCACGACAGCCCCATGTCCGCACCAACTCCTGCCACCTAGCCTGTGTCACTGCAGCCTGAGCAAAGGCCCCCAAAGCCTGCCCACTTTGAGGCTATCTGGAGAACCTGAGGCAGGTGCTCCTGGGCTGGGGAAGCGAGCCTGGGTGCATACCAGGGCCCAGGGGACTACAGGGTGTCACAAGGAGACAGAGGCGGAGCACAAAGCCGCCCAAAGCCAGGGCATTTGCCTGGGGCTCTGGCCGAGAGATAGGCTGCTGAGACGACCTCAAAGAAAGCAGCACCTCAGTCACCCGAGAGGTGGCTCAGGGTCACGGTCCAGTTTGGGGGCCCTCAGGCCATGCCTCCTGCACTGGGAACTGGGTGACCTGGCGACTCCCTCCTGGTCAGAAAGGTGTCCAGTGCTGGGCCCGGACCCAGGACTAGGCCTCAGCCTGCACCCTACCCACCTGACTTGGGAGGGCGAGCAGATTGCAGAAACTAGCTCCCCCCAGCATGTGGCGCTGCCCTGCCCTGCCCCCCAGTCCTAACCTGTGGCTGCAGCTCCTGGACAGCTACACCCAACAGTAAGGCCGTTGCTCCACCAGGCCCCGCAGGCCAGGCGGAGCAAGAATCCAGCCATTCCCACCTCAAGCCACAGACACCGCCTCCCCCAGGAGGATACCAAGGCACCCATGGAAACAACCAGAAGCCAGGCTCCAAATGAGAGCAAATCCGAGACAAGGCAGAGCCTGTTGGGCACACGTTTATCCAGGCCTCCTGCCCCAAGAGGGCTTCGGGAGGCCAAGGGCGTCCGCCAAGGGCAGGGCTCTCTTAATCCTGGAGACCAGCTCCTCCAACCGTCGGCCTGAGTGTTCAGCTGGCTGGGCATCCTCTCCAGCCAGGCCCCAGTCACTGTCCGGCTTCCTTGGCCTGCCACACCAGCTCCCCGGAGATGTAGGTGGCCCAGACATGTAGCGTGTCGTCGAGCACTATGAAGTCTGGTTGGAGTCAGGCAGTGAGGAGATGGCCGAGGTGGGCCTGCTGCCACCCCTGCGTGGAGTCGTCCCTCCAGCACCCACAGTTGGGGGGACTGGAAACCAAGGCCCAGGGCCACGGCCCAGCCCACCACAGGCTGGCGCGAGAGTCCCGGAGGCAAGCACTCCAATGCCCAGCAGCTAGGGGTGAGTGAGGGGCCCTCACCTGGCCTTGTCTCAGATGCCAGAAACCACCCTGCCCTGACCGGAAGAGGGGCTACTCAGCTGTGGGGAGCTAGGAGGCCCAGGCCCCCAGAGCACACGCGGCCCTCACCTGCATCGGCACCGAAGTCCAAGGTCCCCTTGTGTGTCTCCAGCCCCAGCAGCTGGGCAGGGTGCAGGGAAGCAGCCTCCAGAGCCGACTCCACGCTGCAGCCTGCAGGGACATGGCCTGGCAATGCCGCAGCCCTGCACGCCCAAGCTCCCAGGCTGCGGGGCGGGGCGGGGTGGGGCGGGGCGCTGACCCTGCTCTGCAGCAAGAGGGGCAGGTTGATGGTGCCTGCCCTCTCCCAGCCACCCCCACCCCGCCCTGCAGGGACCTCCTCCTCACAAAGCGCCCACTGGGCCCATGTGCCCATGGGACCTCCGTCTTCCTGGGTCCCGGGAGAGCCCCCGGCACAAGGAGGCAATGCCCTGGGCCAACCACACCACCAACCTGGCAGTCACCCAGGGTTCTGGACTCTGATCCCCAAAAAGAGGTCAAGTGACCACACCCTCTTCCGCACCCCCCATGGCCACACAGCCCCTCTCCCCTGCCCAAATGCTCTAAACCAAAAGGCAAAGGAAGAATGGGGGTGTGGGGCCCTGTTGCCCCCACTCTCCCCCCAGCCTCTTGCAGGTGCAGCCTCCACCCTGACACACCCAGTGTGCACACGCATGTACGGGTGGCTCCGCTCTCCCCCCAGCCTCTCCCCTGACACTCCCAGTGTGTACATGCACGTACAGGTGCCCCCGCTCTCCTCCCAGCCTCTCACAGGTGCAGCCTCCGCTGACATACCCAGTGTGCACACGCATGCACACCGGCCCACTGACCTGTGGCCTGCAGGAAATGGCGGACACAGACGTCCATCGGAGCAATGCTGCCGCACAGTGTCTTAGTGCCTTGAGAGAGACACCAGCTGGTAGGACCTGGGTTCGCAGGCTCACTAGCCGGAGCTGGGGGGCCCCCAAGGGTCTTGCCTCCCACCAGAGAGGCCAAGAGGCTGCTCCCATGGGGAAGTTGGGGGCGTAAGTCACCTGCTACATAGGCCGTCAGCCCATCCACCTCCACCTCCTGCTGTCCTAGCGTGTGACGGCCGTTGCCCAGGCCCAGGGCAGGGACTGCATCGGTGACCAGCACCAGTCCTTTAGAAAAAGAGGCTTTAGGACCTGCCCTGCTGGGCCAGCCCGCCTGCCCGTCAGACCCTGCACACCAGCTCACCCTGGGGATGGGCCCGGTGGGCAATGCGCAGGGCGGCAGGGTTGGTATGCATGCCATCTGCAATCATTCCATAGAAGATGCAGCGGCCTGGGGGCAGCTGGTCACTGGTCAGGAGCCCCACGATGCCTGGGTCACGGTGGTGGAACTGGGAGGGGACAGGAGGAGCCGGCTGAGTGACCGACAGTGGAAGCGCTGGGTCACACCCCCAGAGGCCAGGGCAGCACTCACAGGCAGCATGGCGTTGAAGAGGTGGGTGATGAAGGTGGCCCCGCGCTGCACGGCTCCCTCCGCGGCCCTCAAGTCGGCCACCGAGTGCCCTGCGTGCGGACCTGGATTCAGACTACACCCAGTGCAGGCCCACCCCACAGCCCACCTGGGGGCCTCTCACCTAGGGACACACAGATGCCACGAGCCGTCAGCTCCTCGATCACCTCGTGGCTGCGGTGCAGCTCTGGGGCCAACGTCACGATGCGCACGTTGTCCAGGGACCCGTAGGTGGCCAGCACATCGTCGAAGCCATTGGCCTCAAAGGAGCGGAGGTGGGCCTCTGGGTGTGCACCCCGCTTCTCCTGGCTGATGAACGGCCCCTCCAGGTGCACCCCTGGGGAGGGGAGGAGCAGCAGTGGCTCCGGCAGGCGACCCTGCCTTGCCCCCACCTAACCACCCTCCCCGTGGGGCACCTGGAGGGGGCAGGGCTGCCAGCAGGTCCCTGAGGAGCCTCCCAGGATGGGCAGGGAGGGGATCAGCCACTCACCGAGGACCCCTGCCCCATGGGGACCACCACTCTTCACGGGGATCTGAGGAAGGACCTGGGGGGAACCAGCTGTTAAAGCCCCACCCCCCACTGCCCAGCACCCAGAGGTCATAGCCAAGGTCAGGGATCACAGGTCAGAGGTCAGCACAGAGCCAGGCCCCCGCTGGCCATCCCCTTGGGCACTAGAGAATGCCATCAGGACACTCAGGAACATAGAAATGGGGCCCAGAGTGCCTGCCCTGAGGACCAGGAGGCATCAGAGGGGTTCCACATGGGCAGGAGCCCCAGCCCAGGCAGGGCGAGTGCCAGTGTGAGCCGCAGAGCGTTCTCTGCACAGGGAAGACCCACTCCACAGCCCAGCACGGCCATGCAGCAGAGGCAGAGCCAGACCCGGGCAGGAAGGTCCCTGCCCCCCCAACACGGCCGGGCGTCCACCTCCAGCCCTGCCAAGTCCCCGGTACGGCTGGCGGCCCGACTGTGGCCCTCTGCTGAGCTCCCCACCCCAACGTAGGAGGGATTTTTAAGAGGCTTGTACGTGGGGGGTGCTAGGAAGAAGGTAGCTGGCCATCAGGAGCTTAACAGCGGCCACGCAGGGGACAAAGCAGCCCCTGGGCTCGGGTCCTGGCATCTGCTGCCGCGAGAAGTGGAGTGACGTGGGCTGGGAGGTGATGAGGAGCTTGTCAGAGTGGCTGGGCCTGGAGCTCCTGCCCAGGGTACCCAAATACCTGGAGGGTGCAGCGCGCAGCCCGGGGCAGGGGCAGGGCCAGAGCCCTCGGTGGTAAGCGAGTCGGTTCTTGGGCTCTCAGCAGGTCCGCACACAGGCCTGGCCCTCTGAGGCAGACGTGAGGGTTCTCTGTGGGGGTCTGCCCAGCCCGAGAGAAAGCACGCGGAGTCCCTGACCTACGGCGTGCCCAGCGGCCTGCGGGTGCCTGCGCACAAGCAGAGCGCAGGGCGGAGTCTGGGGCCAGCCAGGGAGGCCGAGGGACACTCGCTGCCAGCCAGAGGCCCCAGGGCACCTGCGACCGGCCAGGGTGGGCCGGGAAGCAGAGAGCACGAGGATGACGGGCAGGAGCCTCCTCACACCCTGGGGCACAGCACGCCTCCCAGGACACAAGAACGGGCGTCAGGAGTGAGGGTACGGGGCACCGGGCGAGCTGGCGCCAAAGCGAGGGCACAAGGGCTCCTGCTCCTGACTGGGAGACAGAGGGGACAGGGACAAGAAGACGACAGAGCCAGCCCCGGAGGCCTGCCGGTGCGGCGGCCCAGAGCAGGGACAGGAAAGGGTCTCTGAAGACGTGAGCCCAGACAGCCAAACACACACCAGCGCCCACCTGCAGACTGACAGGACCTGCCGTCGGCAGTGCCACCACGTCACCCCGAGACTGGGGTCCCGAGAGAGGGAAGGAAAGACCTCCCAAAGGTTCCAGAGAGAAGAGACACGCACGTCATCCCCACGTGCCCAGGTCAGACAGCTTCCGAGCCTCCAGCAGCAAGGCTGAGGCCAAGAGCAGTACAGCGGTCCCGTTGGAACCGAGAGGAAAATGACACCCAGCCCAGGTCTCTGAGCACAGCCCAGCCACCGGTCAAGGAAACAAAAGCATCTTCAGACATTCGCGGTCTCAGAAACTGACCTCTCGGGGACAGCCAGTGGCCTGGTAGTTAAGGCGGCTGGTTCCCACATAGGCGACTGCGCAGTTCAAGTCCAGGACATGACGGCTTGAGAAACACGCCAGGCACGGGCATGCTTGCGCCGACTCCCCAAAGGGCAGAGACAGAAGAAAGGACGGCAGCGTGACCGGTCCCCGTAGTGGGGGTGAGGTGCTTTCTCACTGTGCCTCTCTTGTTTTGGTCTCTCCAGCCAGGGCATGTACCCTTTGGAAAATTTTTTAAAAATCAAGACCTCTTTTCTTAGAAGGTACTGGAGGATTAGCTCCACCAAAATGAACAAATGAAGGTGGAAACCTGCAAAGAGAGATGCAGGGCCTCGGACCCAGACCTGGCAGGAAAGCGGGAAGGGCTCCGTGAAGAGCAGGAGCCCCTGGGGCGCAGGGCCTACCAGCCCTAGGGAGGGAGGAAGGGAGGGCAGGCTGCCAGACGGACTGGTAACAGCCCATGGTGTGGTGCCTGGCCTGGGAGGACGACGCTGCAAACCGACTCAAGGCAGCCACTAAAAAACCTAAGTGAGGGGGGTGAGCAGGTGACATGGTGGTTAAAGGTGCTGGATTCCCACGTGGCCAAGCACAGTTTGAGTCCCAGACCTTGCTTTCTTGCTTCCTGCCCCCTTCCCCTGGGTCAAATTTTAAAAATAACAAATGGAATTAAATAAATAATTCTTAAAAAAAAAAAAACTAAGCAAGGGGTCAGCAGGTGCTATGGTTGGTGAGGCTGGACTCTCAAAAAAAAAAACTAAGCAAGGGGTCAGCAGGTGGTATGGTTGGTGAGGGTGGACTTTCTCGTGGCCTACAACAGTTCTCGTCCCGGACCAGACAGCTTCAGACTCACGCTGCGTGCCTCCGTGCACATACCCAGAACCTGAAAGAACAACGAGGGGACTGCAGCCTGCCAACACCGGAGGGGGTCTCGCACTCCTCTCTCTCATGCACGTGAACCCATGTGCCCTATGGCAAATCTCTCTCAAAATCCCAAGCAAATGGGCAGCAGACGGCATGGTGGTGAAGGCCCGGCCCCATGTGGCTGGCTCGGCGGGTAGAGGCCCAAACTAACTAGAAAAAACACCCAGGGCACGTGTGCAAGCATGCTCAAAACCCTAAAAGGGACATGGAGAAAGGATTGTGGTGTGGCTGTCCCCCCACAGAGTGACTTCTCACTCGCCCCCATCCCCATTCCTCTCTGGAGAGATCATGCCCCTACAGCAAAAATTCAAACGCACACCACCACCAAGTGAACAGTGAGCACTGGCTCAGAGGAAGGCAGAGTCGGCGAGTAAGAACACGGGATGCAGCGGCTTCCCTTCAGCACCAGTGGCCACTCGGTGTGGCTGTCCCACCCCAGGTAACGGGCTGCTTGGGGGAGGGGCAGGAAGAGGGACTCCAGGTGCAGAAGGCGCTGACCTTCCTCTTTCCCAGCGGGAAGAACGGTCCCTGCCCTGAACTGGAAAGTCAGTAGGAACACGGGCATTCTGAGGTCAGAGGGCGAATTCCACAACAGTGACTGTCCCTAGGGTGTGAACCGGTAGGGGCAAAGGCTGCTGCTCTTAACAAGCCATCTGGACATCCAAGTATGCTAAAGACTAAAGAGAAAAATACTCGCTCACTTTTTCTAGAATTCAAGGGTTCTCTAAAAGTTTGTACAAAATGTGCATTATGGAAAAAGTATGCATGGATTTCAAAACATTTGACTCCAACATAAACTTGGAAAACTCCATTTTTCCATGAAGCTCCCCCCGAGAGGTTTTCACTATAGGGTGCACGAGCTCACCCGAGAGACAGTCAGTGAGAGGGAAAGTAAAAATCACCCCCAGGGGGACAACCACACTGCAACCCCTTCTCCATCCTCCTCCCGGGATCTTGGGCATGCGCGTGCGCACACACACATGCACCCAGCGTGAATTGGAAGCCACCAGGTTGGGATTAACCCCAGGGAGTCCAGCGATGTGACCACTATCCCATCTGCCGGCCCCTCCATTTTTTTTCTTTTCTTTTTCTTGAGAGTTTTCACTATACAGCACGTGCGCTCCCCAGAAAGAGACAGAAAGCAATAAATCACCCCCCGGGGGGATGGCCATGCCGCAATCCCTTCTCCTCCATTCTCCTCTTGGGATCTTGGGCACGCACGCACACGCTCCCAGCATGAGTTTAAGCCACTGGGTGCAGGACTCGAACCACAATTGACTACATGGGAGTCCACTGACATAGCCACTAACTGCTGGTCTCTCCTGAAGTGTTTGAAGTCTACTCATAAAGCTTTGGAAGGTAAAGAGCAAGAGTGCGCCGAGAGAGGGCAGAAGGAATGGCGGCCTGGAGGTGCAGGAGCTAGGCACACTCAAGGCAGGGAAGCAGTGAAGAAAGCCCAGGTGTGAAGGGTGTGTGGGCCACGCCTGAGGGGTCTGACCTTGGCTCTGCAGACAAGGGTCCGGAAGCTGAGGAGGAGGGTCAGAACTGCCTCATGCAGGCCAGAAGGTGGCACAGTGTTTAAGGCAGCTGGACCCCCATGGCCGACCGCACCGTCCTAGTCCCAGACCCAGCAACTTGAAAAACCACACAGGGCACGTGGGAACCTGCCCCAAATCCCCAGTGTAGAAGGGACTGCAGCATGGCCATCCCCAGAGGTGCTTTCTCGCTTCCTGTTTCCAGCAAGAGCACGTGCCAGCCACACACACACACACACACACACACACACACACACGACGGCCTCATGCTAGGGCCAGGGAAGAGGCCCCGAGAAAACAAGCAGGTGGGGCGACTTCTGGCAAAGTGGCCCTCCAAGGCCCCAGGTGTGAACGGGCCCTGGAGAAAGGCGGGCTAGACGGCAGGACTGGAGTGAGGCCCCCTGGCTTCCAAGAGGATGCTGGTATTGTTTCCCATCACCAAGCCCTCCACCTCCTTGACCTCCACGACCAAGTCTACTCTCGAGAGCCCTGGTCCTAAACGTGCTTCCAGAGGGGTAAGTACCTGGACTGCAATGGGTGCCAGGAAGAAAACCCAAGACTTCTGAGAGGCTCCTACTCCACACTCCTCCCTGCAGAGCTGCAGTCTGCCGCAAAGTGCAGCCAGGCCACGCACGGAGCCCAGGGCGGCATGGACAGTCAGCAGGGGAAGGTAGGCTTGGCTCGGAAGGGCAGCCTGGGGCCAGGCGGAGTGCTTGGGGGGCCCAGAAAGAACCTAAGGGCCAGGATGGCCAGAGCAGGTGTGGGAGGGCAACGAGCTGGGCCCTGATCTTCGGGGAGAGTCGGATGCGCTCTGCTGCAGCAGGAGAGTTTGGAGCCTCGCCCTGGACTCTGGCGGGAGCCACAGACGTTTCCAGGCCACCGTTTGCTGAGTGTTTCGCCCATACCCAGCACAGCACGGGCACACGCACCCCACAGCCCCCTAAGAGACACGCTCTGCTCCTGTGCTCACTTCAAGTTTGAGGAAACGGAGGCTCCAAACAGTGAGATTGGCCCAAGGCTTCCAGCTGAACTGAAGGCATCAGGAGGCCAGAACCAAATCCAGAGCCCACGCCAGAGACTTCAGTCGCTGCTCTGCCCCTGTGGCCACTCCCAGAAAGGGCCAGCAGGCAGCAAGGCGACCCACAGTCCCACGAAGATCGTGTACCGGAGGGGACAGCAGCCGGGGCAACGGAGAGGACAGACACTGCTGATTAAAGCACTGTGACGGGGCCAGCCCCAAGGCCTAATGCTTAAGGAGACCGGACCCCATGTGGCTGGCTGTGCAGTGCACACGCTGGCCCCAGAAGCGTCAAAAACACGCCAGGCCCATGTATGTATGTGCCCCAAATCCCATCAGGATGAAGGGGGGACTGCAGTGTGATTACACCGCAGTAGGAATGCTTTCTCCTGGTGAACAAGCCTGCCCTCTGGCCAAAAAAACAAACAAACAAAAAAACCCAGTAACTGTTGACTCCCTACACTAACTGCACTGTGGTTGTGTAAGCGAATATGAACGGTTAAAACAGCAGCTCCAGGGGCTTAACAAACACACCAGGCACACGTATGCAAGCCCCAAATCCCAACAGGATGGAGTTTTAAAGGCAAGGGATTGTGGCATGACCTGCCCATTGGAGGGTGCCTTCTCCCTAGGGCTAGCTCATGCACCCTCCTCTAGACTGAGAAGGGGAGGAGAGGTAAGGAGGAGAGGCGGAAAGGGAGGGGTGGAGGAGAAGAGAGGAAAGAAAGGAACAAAGCATGACGGGCTAGCAAGAGCACAGTGGTTAAGGCAGCTGCACCCTGCTCACGGTGTGAGTCTCCATGAGGAGATGGGGGGACTGCAGCCTGGACACCTCCCCGCGCCAGGGGCAGGGCACTTTCTTACTTTGTCTCTCCTCTCTCTGGCAAGCACACATGCACCACAGCAAATTAGAAATAAATTTTGAGCTATTCAAACTACAAACAGTTCAGGGGGACCAGCAGATGGTATAATGGCTACGTCGCTGGACTGCCAGTTAGTCGACTGCAGTTCGAGTCCCGGACCCGGTGGCTTAAACTCACGCTGGGCGCATGTGCGTGCGTGCCCAAGATCCCGAGAGGAGAGTGGAGGAGAAGGGATTGCAGCGTAGCCATCCCCCTGGGGGGTGATTTCTCCCTTTCTGTCTCCCTCTCTCTGTCTTTCTGGTGAGGACATGCCTCCTATAGCAAAAACCTTTCTTTAAAAAAAAGTTCAGGAAAAATATGCTCAGGTGGTAGAAGTCTAAATAATAAGACAAAGCAGAATTAAATTTGAAACCCTTCACAAATGGTAACTGTTTTAAACGAAGTGGAATCAATTACAACCAAACTCCTTCCAGGTAAAGGGGAGAGTAGAAGGGAGGGGTCACAGGAACACGGGGTGGGGAGTCTTCCTTCAGGTGCCATTCATGCCACAAACAGGTTAGGGAGGGTGGGCCTGACCAGCAGCTATGCCTGTGGCAATCACAAAGTCCCCAGAGTCCTTGGTCAGGAGGCCTCTGGAGCCTGGAGGCATGATAATGTAAAGTAGGGGAGGCGTGTGGCAGGGGGAGGGTGGGAGATAGCAAATACAGGGGTGGGGCCGGCAGAGGCAGCCAGACCCCCTGCCATACCCAGGTACCATGCAGCATACTGGGTGGTGGACATGCACCAAGATTTGAAAATAAGGTGGTGGGTCAGAAACCAGTACAGGCTAGGTTAGGTGCTATGCAGAGAAAGCCAGACCCCACATGCCCCACCCAGGTTGAAACTCCAGCCCCTGAGGCTTGGAAAACAGGCCAGGCCAGCGAGCACCTGCCCAAGATCCTGAAAGGACGAAGGGCGGAAGGGGACTGCAGCGTGACCAGGCCGATGGGAGTGCTCAGCCGCTCCCAGGCACGTGCACGTTCTAAATGCCTCAACCGCTCCTGGAGCCCCTTTGCTCACCTTGTGATACACCTCATGTGGGGAAGTAACCAGGGTGGGGCAGAAGGAGGTGACACCGTGCGACAGGAGCCTCTGGGCCACCAGGGCAACCCCTGAACCCACGTCCTCCGTGACCAGGGAGAAGTCAACACCAAATCCACCTGTGGCCACAGAAAAAAAAGGGTCGCAGAAAGCTCAGAGCGCCTGCCCGGGGTGCCCTGGCCCCTCCCGGGCCGTACCGTTGATCTGCACGTCGATGAAGCCGGGCGCGAGGATGCGGCCCCCGGCGTCCCGCTGTTCGTCGGCCACACGCCGCTCCTCGAAAAACAGCTTCTCCGGGGCCAGAACGCGGCCCCCGCGCACCCCCCG